CAATTCGGAGGGCGTGTGATGTGAGACACGTGCCAGTTGCCGACATTGGGGTTGCTAACAGGAAATCCCCTGCATGTGGGGCTGCTACTGCTGTGAGGCGAGCAATGTTGTGTTGTGTTGTTGCAGCACCCAGGCACTCTGCAGCAACTTGGTCTACAATGGGGCCATCCCAGCTGGATTGCTTGTGGGCTTTTGGGGATGATGGTTGAGGTGATGGGCCTTCACGAGAGGCCCACTCTGTGGCACAGCGTGTAAAATTGGGATTATGTACACCTGCCAGCTGATGTAAGTGGGCAGGTAGAATTTCCTTCACAAGGTCGTCGGATGCTGATAAGGAGGACAGGAAGACTGGAACAGCGATTTGCGTTGCTGTTCGAACTCCGAGGCCCCCAAGTCTTACGGGAAGAGAGGCTTGTTTCCACTGTAGGTCATCAAGAGAGAGGTTAAGGGCTTTTTCTAGCATTGATTTCAGTAATCGGTCATACACACTTAGTTTTTGGCTACTGTAAGATGGTGAACACCACAGAAAGTAGGTTAACCTGGGGAGGGACAGACATCTGGTGATGAGGTAAAGTGCATCATGAGCATCAATATCCTCAATCCTCCCATCCATCCTCTTAAGGTCGGCGATTTTCTTATCAAGGACCTCATCGATGGCTTTCAACCCCAGGGGAGCTCCTAGGAGTGTGCTGTCTTCAGGTTAAGTTTTATTGATATTTGGCAGAAGACCCTCTATTCTCTCTACGATGCCCTGGTTGGAACATATTATTTCACATTTAGAAGGGTTCAGGGTGAGGCCTAAAACTACACCTTGCTCCTGGATTTTTCTGATGTCCTCCAGGAGGGAGTCTTGGGAACCAGCTAGGGTACCATCATCCAAGAACCAGATGTTAAGCTCGCTGGACAGGACCTCTGTGACTTGTTTGATGACTAAGCAGAAAAGGAGAAGAGCAAGGGGGTCACACTGTTGGACGCCTTCCCGCGAGTCAGTTTCATGTTCGCCAAAAAGTACCTTAAGATCCATACTGTAGCATGAATGTACAAAAGGGTAGAGGGAAGGGAAATGACTATGAACCGCACGGAGTACAACATCCCTCCGCACCAAATTGAAGGCATTTTTTAAATCTAGCTTGATAAGGGCCTTTTCGTCTGTGATGCTGGCAATATATATATTGCCAACAATATTGTATTGTATATATATAATATATATATATATATATATATATATATATATATATATATATATATATATATATATATATATATATATATATATATATTGTGACAATAATCTCTTTCAAGAGAGATTGAGGTTGCTCTTCCCTACATAATTACGTCAAAATACAAGATACTATATACAAGATACGTCCACCAAGTATCGCCAAACGTTTTGCCCAGAGAGCAAATCGTACCCAGCACACCTGGCCACCGCCGTAACCAGCTAACTGCTCATCTTCTGCCTGCCTGTTGCTGATTGGCTGGTGTCTCGTCGCCCCTGCCCTCCGCCACCACCACAAGTCGATGTCTGGGCTGCAGTGCGCCAGTCTCGTCAGAATATCTCAGTGCTCCATGCAGTTGACATCTCTCGCTGGTTGACTAAGCCTTGGCTTTCGTGTACTAAGGGAGGTGGCAGCTCGAAGCCAATATTCCAGCACCCACTCATATTTTATTTTGCTATCACTGTAACTTACTTGTCTTAGCGTAACTTTTCATTTGCCAGTGATTATTCATGTTATTTTGTTTGTTGACTTGTCCTGCATATTTTTATGAGATTACCTTTATTCATGTCTTGTTTTCTAGAGTAATTAAAATTTCATTGTTTATATACTTGTGTTTTGTGTGTCTTCCCATTACCTTACCACAGACGAAAGGACCAACTTTTCTCTTTTTTTTTGTTATGTGACGAGGCCCTGCCCCCAGCTTTTCAAACAGCCGAACACCAACACTTTACCCTCACAATATATATTGGTACCAACAGAGAAAAACACCCTTCTTTTCCAGCTTTTCGTGCTCCATGAATGTCACAGATGATCGAGATGCCTCACTAGCTCCTTTTTCAGTGGCAATTTTTTTTAACGTTTGTATTATTGCCTCACTCCTACCTCCTCCTGCTTCATTTCCTCCAGTGTTAATACAAAAATGGGTTTGTGCGTAATTTCAGCCATAATATTACCTATATTATTAAGAATATCTCATATTCCCTCTAAGGGCCTGTATTCATAAAAAATTTACACATCCATAAACGAAGACTGTATATCTTTGCACATCCATAGACGAAGCTTGTACATCTTTTCACATCAATTGTCGAAGCCTGTACATCTTTACACATCCACTCACGAAGCCTTTGCATCTTTACACATCCTCTGACGAACCCAGTACATCTTTACACATCCACTGACGAAGCCTGTGCATCTTTACACATCCCCTGACGAAACCTGTGCATATTTACACATCCACTGACGAAGCATGTACATCATTACTCATCCACTGACGAAGCCTGTAATTCTTTACACATCCACTAACGAAGCCTGTACATCTTTACACATCCACTGACGAAGCCTGTACATCATTACACATCCACTGACGAAGCCTGTACATCCTTACACATCCACTCACGAAGGGGTGTATATCTTTACACAACCACTGACGAAGCCTATACATTTTTACACATCCACTGACGAAGGCTGTATATCTTTACACAACCCTGCAACCACTGACGAAGCCAGTACCTCTTTACACATTTACTCACGAAGCCTGTACATTTTTCTACACATCCACTGACGAAGCCTGCACATCTTTACACAACCACTGACGAGGCCTGTACATCTTTACACATCCACTGACGAGGCCTGTACATCTTTACACAACCACTCATGAACCACCCAGGATGGGTAGGTCAGGATGATTTCCTGGTTGCAATTCTTTTACCATGTCGTAGCTCAGTCTATTATGACAGCGTCTGGGATCCTCTTGGACGTAGGTTCGAACCCTCGTCACGGCCCTTGTGGATATGTTCACTTGACATTGATCATAACCTACTGATGATTTATTGTAAGTTTATTACACAGCGTCTGCATTACTCACTCTTCCGCCTAGCCAATGGTCAAAATATGAGTTTATTTGAAACGATGCAATGCAACTCATAGCAGGAGTTCCTAGATGTACCGAAACTCTGAGCTTAAGACTGTAAACCGTACGAAATAAAAGAAGATTAGCAGTCTCCGTGGTGTAGTGGTAAGACACTCGCCTGGCGTTCCGCGAGCGCTATGTCATGGGTTCGTATCCTGGCCGGGGAGGATTTACTGGGCGCAATTCCTTAACTGTAGCCACTGTTTAACGCAACAGTAAAATGTGTACTTGGATGAAAAAACGATTCTTCGCGGCAGGGGATCGTATTCCAGGGACCATAGGATTAAGGACTTGCCCGAAACGCTACGGGTACTAGTGGCTGTACAAGAATGTAACAACTCTTGTATATATCTCAAAAAAAAAAAAAAAAAAAAAAAAATTCTCTTATGCAAGCATCATGGAAATCGTTGCCAGCAGACTTTAGGAGTAAGGCTCTCTAAAGAAATTAGAATCAGACTAACCCCATCTGAATATATGAATATAGAAGCAAACTTGCTATCTTACAGCTTCACAGGCTTCCCAGAAAAATCAATAGACCGGGAGAGGCAAGAATCTGGAACTGCAGTTAAGGCAGAATGTTAAATCATATTATTTTTGGCATTCCCCGTTGCACAATGGGACAATCCCGTGGCTCAGTGGTAAAACCCTCGCTCGGCACTTCACGAGCTTTTTTCATTGGGTTCGTATCCCGGCCAGGAAATATTTACTGGGCGCCAATCCCTAACTGTAGCCTCTGTCCACCCAGCAGTGATTGCGTACCTGGTTGTTAAGTGATTTGGCAGGTCCTATTCCAGAGAAAATATTAGGATTAAGGTCCTACCCGAAACGCTATATGTGCTAGTGGCTTTACAAGAATGAAAGAACTCTTGTATATATAAATAAATAGATACAAAAAATTCTTGGAGGCTCAAATGAGTGCTCAGTGTTAGAGACTCACGCTTTAGAACACACTTTTTTAATTAAAACAAATGACATCATCACACATTAAAATTCGAGAACTTCCAATGAAACGTTGCTACGAGAGCACTTATGTGACAACATCCATCTGACCACAAATGTCAAAATGTTAATGCAACACGCATTCGCCAAGATCTTCAGATACGTATAAACTGTGCTTGAAGTCATGTAGGAATACCAGGAAATAACGTTGCAGAGGAAGCTGAAAAAACTTGCAAGTCAGAGGAGGATTGTAGACATTTAAATGCCACAAATTAAGAAAATAATTACAGTTAGAGGAACGCAGATTACGTACAGCGACCAAAATGTAGCAGCTGCAACGTCAGGATTGGTACAAGTTTCAAACAACTATCAAACACCTAAATTTTCGATAGTTAACATTAGAAGAAAAGAGGAACACTTGTACTGCATCAGGCTTGGATATCCTTGTGCTTGGGGAAACAAACTTACAGGTTCCAGAAGAAGACAGAAAATGTCAGCAGTGTGGAAAAATGCCAATCGGACCACTGGAACATTACCACTGAGATTTCACCATGCCGAAGAAGTTGTAAACTTTACCCCTAACCTTACTGAAACAAACATGCGAGTGATAAACACTCACCCACCACCTATATGACAGTGAAATAAGTAACAATAAGTTGGCCAGCCAGAGGCTTAGGGCCCGTACAACAATATCTCTGTAGACTAAAAAAATACCTCATTAATACTTCCATCATCATCATCATCTAAGTCTTCATAAACAACATCATCATCAACAACATCGTCTACAGCATCTTACTGAATAACGTCTTTATTATCCTGAATAACGTCTTCATCTTCCTGAATAACCTCTTGATCATCTATGGCTTAATTAAGAACGTCTTTACCAACGTCTTCATCTTCTATATCTTCATCCAAAACATCTGCATTAAAAAATGTTTCCATCAACGACATTTCCATCAGTAAAGTCTTCATCAACAACGTCTTCATCAACAACGTCTTCATCAGCAACGCCTTCTTCACCAACGTCTTCATCAACAACGTCTTCATCAGCAACGTCTTCTTCACCAACGTCTTCATCAACAACGTCTTCATCACCAACGTCTTCATCAGCAACGTCTTCATCAGCAACGTCTTCATCACCAACGTCTTCATCAACAACGTCTTCATCACCAACGTCTTCATCACCAACGTCTTCATCAACAACGTCTTCATCAACAACGTCTTCATCACCAACGTCTTCATCACCAAAGTCTTCATCAACAACGTCTTCATCACCAACGTCTTCATCACCAACGTCTTCATCAACAACGTCTTCATCAACAACGTCTTCATCACCAACGTCTTCATCAACAACGTCTTCATCACCAACGTCTTCATCAGCAACGTCTTCATCAGCAACGTCTTCATCACCAACGTCTTCATCAACAACGTCTTCATCACCAACGTCTTCATCACCAACGTCTTCATCAACAACGTCTTCATCACCAACGTCTTCATCACCAAAGTCTTCATCAACAACGTCTTCATCACCAACGTCTTCATCACCAACGTCTTCATCACCAACGTCTTCATCAACAACGTCTTCATCACCAACGTCTTCATCAACAACGTCTTCATCAACAACGTCTTCATCACCAACGTCTTCATCAACAACGTCTTCATCAACAACGTCTTCATCACCAACGTCTTCATCAACAACGTCTTCATCACCAACGTCTTCATCAACAACGTCTTCATCAACCACGTTTTCATCACCAACGTCTTCATCACCAACGTCTTCATCACCAACGTCTTCATCAACCACGTCTTCATCACCAACGTCTTCATCACCAACGTCTTCATCACCAACGTCTTCATCAACCACGTCTTCATCACCAACGTCTTCATCACCAACGTCTTCATCACCAACGTCTTCATCGCCAACGTCTTCATCAACAACGTCTTCATCACCAACGTCTTCATCACCAACGTCTTCATCACCAACGTCTTCATCAACAGCGTCTTCATCAACCATGTCTTCATCACCAACGTCTTCATCAACCACGTCTTCATTACCAACGTCTGACCTATCGACTCGAAAATAGATAACATGGTGTTTTGTGAGCCGCTCTGATTCATAGTACGCAATATTCTGTCCAATGGAGATTTTGGCATAAAAAGGATAATTTATTTGGTAAAGAAGTTGCCCAGACGTGGCATCTCTCAGAGACGTGCCCGGGACCCGACCATCAACACCAGGGTTCCTCCAGCGACGTCATGGATGGCCTTCACATCTTCACCTGAAACATGTGAAAGCTTCAGTAACTGTCGAGGTCATAATGGTATGTAAGTTCCATCCTTATATATGGCCTCATGATGATTATGATGCTTTCCCAGAGTGATTCCTCTTACATTTTATTGGACCTCTCACATTTACTGCTTTATTGTTAAATTTTAGATATAGCATTTTAAGCTATTTCCTTTCATTGTTTATCATATTCAGGAAACATGAGTTTAAAGAGCAATTTTGAGCTTCCGTTAATTTTGTAAATGTCTTTTTGGTTGTGTTTAGTTTCAGATGATGTCCAGTATCAGTGACCAAGATATTATCATGAAAGGGAGCATTAACTTCCCTGTCACCCTTTCAACTCCCTAAATGGTCTCTGTCCTTTATCATTACTTAAAGATAGCATTAATATACATTCCTAATATCTGACCGTAAACCTTCAACATTTCCTCGTCATCACCAGAAATAAAATGGGTTCATTTACAATTTCATATTCTTTGGCTCCAGCATACAGAACCTGAGGGAGTTTGGCATACTGGACTACATAATTATGAAAGGATTGTCAAACTCAACAACTTGCATGAAGCCCATCAGTACCCAAGTGCATAATGACCTTCGCATCCTCGACCTGGGAGACTTCTATGGTGTCTTCTCCATCTATGCTACTGGTGAGAGTGCTGTATTCAGGTACATATATGTGTGTATATTTTGTAAACGCATGTTCGTGTATGTGTTTTTATCTCTATGTAACTGAGTGTATATTTGCGTGTCTAATCAGTTGTGTGTATGTGTGTGTCTTTTGTCACGTAGGAACATTATGTGAAAATGAAGAGGTTGAAAGAGTTGTTGCATAAGCCCAATCGAATGATTTACGTCTGAATGTAACGGGAAGTGGGAACTTTCAAGATAAATTATCGCCTATGGTTTACAGACAGGAATATTTTTCGAGAACATGAGAGACCGAGCAGTGCTCATATGGCACACGTGATATGAGAAGTCGGAGCATTATAGTGGAATACTTAATATAGAGGTTCTTATAATTCACTCGATCATTTTCCTTCCAGAGGGAACACTTTTGTTGTTCCTCACAAAATGTAAAGTCGTCCGACATCATTATTCTCTGATCCTTCACGTGTTTTTTCTTTCTTTAGAGAATATGTAATAGCGTATTGTACCTGTATTCCGTGAAAGTCCTAAATTTTTAATATTTCTAAGTATCTGCAGTTAATCGCTTTAAAATTAATTTTGTTCTGTTGCCCAGTGGAAGACCCCTTTGATATCTATATGTACTTTTTTGAGTCTTTATACAAATTAATTTTCATGCTGATTTTGGTATCACCAGCAATGGAAGACACGAAACAGTGGCAATGTGTATTTATATATATCTGATACGAGGACCAGAGAGAAAAGTGGTGCAAAAACAGCCTAGGGGTAGGGAGGTGTTCACTGTGCTCGGACGTAACATTGTTTGGCTTACTCTTACTCTTTGCTACATTAACTGCTGTAGGCAGTTAAGGCAGCAAAGGCCTTAGGCAGCATTTTATGGGCTACCACTCCATGTCCACATATATTAAATTCTTTTGCAACTCCATGTATATTACATCAGTATTTGAATTTTCCTCTGATGCTTTCGCAATTCTGTTTTAGTGATTGAGTTAATGAAAAAGGCTGGCTATTCCAACTCTAAATTCAAGTTGACCTCGGCCGTGTAATTCATATTGTCCCTCATAAAAGTGAAGATTGAACCCTCTTATCACTACTTCAAGAACTCTAATTATGTGCAATATTAGTGCGACCAGTCTGTAGTTTTTATTAATACTTGTTACCATTTTTGTGGAGTGGGATTATATCTGATATTTTATATGGCTCTGGTATTTCGCCAGTTTCCGCACCTTTTCTACATTTTACACTGATCACTTGTACTACTGATAATTTGTATTTATTTATAAATATTAATTGTAGGAATCAGGACCCCTGGGCTGAGTGCATGAGGATAATGTCAATTTGTTTTACAGTCTACTGTGCTTTTGTTAATATTCATTATGTTTTCCGAGTTTTACGTTTATCCGGCTCTTCAACTTTACGTTGTATATTGGGATGCTAAACATAGCCTAATGTTGTTATTTCAGAATTTCACACACTTAAAATATTTATCATTCACTGTGAATGAAATTATTTTATAATTGTAGGGCCATACTGGTGCAGGTTTATAATTTTGTATATGTGAATGAGTATTTTATATTTTACTTATTTCTTTTATGACTTTTAGTTTTATTGGAACTTCTTCCGCCTTGTATGGTTATTTTAAAGTCTGCTTAATTAGCTCCATCTTGTAACGGGGACGGGGTAATGTCTCTACTTCGTCCACTACCCTGCCCTCCAGTCCAATAAACTTAGAGACCCCCCCCCCAGAGTTTTACCCTAGCCCTCCAGTCCACTCCTCGTGATCTTCGACGATTGATCGCTTTAAATACTACAAAAACGAGAGCTGTACTGTGCCCCTAGCAAACTCAAGGATCTTCTCAGCTGCCACCACCAAACCTTACCGATATAGACGATCAATTAATTGTGGTTTGGACCAATCAATTAATCATTAATTTCTTGGGGGTTAATCCCCACTTAATTGAAAAGGGAGGTATGAATTTACGTTAATTGTGGAATTTCATAGAAACTAAGGGAATATGCCTGATATAAAAATAGAATAGGCTTGCTTGGAAATATATGCCGACAGACTCATCCACTAGGTGGGCTCGTGGATCCCGCGGCAAAGACAATCCTACATATATATTTATGGGAAAACTTAAAAACACCATAAATACTAAACAAGATCTATTAAATCAAGAATTTCAAATTAATATAAGAAGAAAACACCCCCTGTCTTTAACACTCCCTAAACTGAAATGCATCCTACTGAAATATTTCCTGGGAGGCAAATGAATTGAATGGGTTTAAGTCAACTGTACTAACTCTTAAGCACTTTACCGTAATATTTCTAAGGCCAAGTTCCCTTTAGGCATTCCAAGTCTCCCTTCCCAAGCCCTCTGTTTCTAAGCTAAGTTCAGGTGTCTTTCTTTAGGGGAGATGTTGACCCTAGGAAGCTCCATGCCACACTAACTAGCCTGCTCTGTCTTCCAGACTGCTGCTAGCTATAATACTCCGCTGTCTCTGACTGCTAAATATTACTAAGCAGGGGTTAATTGAACAAACTAATTTTATTTACTGGCCAACCCAGATGGTTAAATTCCTATTGAAACTGATGGTAATTCTATAAGTATCTTGGACCAGGATATTTCCCCCTTACAATATTGACTAGTGACCTGAAGTGACAATATTGAAACTAGTCCCCCTACTCTAAATGACGTCACTTTCTCTGTGACAGCATACGAACATTGATCTTTACTCCACATTCATGTTAACCTAACATACATACACAAACCCGATTTGTTATTATTACAATTACTATATTTACTGAATTATTCCTCATTGTCGAATTAATACAAGGGAAGCAGCCATTTTGTTATTGTAACCTCACTAATTCCTTAATCTCTGGCCAGAGACCTTTCCTCGGCAGAGTCAGGTGAAACTCCTCTTCCATTGCAAATTTGTATAAAACCATGTGGTACCATTTAACCCGTATGATTTGGGATCTATAACTTCTAAAAAAGATTAGTTTTGTTAAAATCTCTCTGAATAGATTCCTTTTGGTTTTGGGGGACATTCGTGCAAGCTGAGCATTTAATTTATTTGTCCTTCTTTAGTTTCCTCTCAGTTCTCATTTTAAGTTTGCCCTCATTTTTATGTTCAGCAACAAAAAATATTTCATACAGACTTTGCTTTGGCGGTCAATTATTTTATTACTTGAATGGGTGTTTTGGTCATTTGTTCGGTTTTGCTTTGAATGTTTGCTAGAGATATGTTCATTTTATTTTTTCAAGGAAATGCTGTTATTGTTGAAATTGTATTTACTCTAAACAGCCCTTTCTGCTTGACATTTTTTGGCGTATTAATTGTTTCACATTTATGAGTTCGTGATCTTAGTATGCAGAATCTTATATAGTAATATTGAAGATTATTTCTTCATTGTTCTTAAAGGTCAATTCGAGAGTGCTTTTCCTCATACTTGGTTCTCTTATCTGTTCATTTAGACAACGCTTGTTACTAGGTGTAATGTGTTTTCTGATTTCTGTTTGGTTATTTCCATGTTAAGTGTTTGTTATAATGTTATTTCTTTTATTCTCCATCATAACCTGGGTAGACTGAAGTCTCCAAGGAAGGTAAAATCCGGCACCAGATTTAGTCGTTGCATATGGAGTTTTGTGTACCAGTTCTTGTTGTGTACTTTGACCTTAAGTCCTTCAACCGCCTTTTATATGGAGTTTAAGATCTTTTGGGCATTCACAAATATATGAATTTATCAATCTTACATATGACTTATTTACTCAATTATATATCTATTATTATATTTTTTAAGTAATAGTAATGTCTTCTCACAGACATAATAACATGGGATAAAACCCCACACTTATGTATTTGTGAAATGTATGTAAAAAATTACACCAATTCTTTGCCACTCTCCTGAGTGCTTTGTCAAGGTCTGAGTGTGTGGTGAGGACGAGACTTACATCTCAACGTCTAATAGGATTAGTGGTTGAGATAAAAGCATCGTCCTAACCACACACACTCAGACCTTGATGAAGCCTTCAAGAGAGTGTGAAATACTTGGTGTAATTCTTTACATAATTTTCACAAATACACAAGTGTAGGTTTTTAGCCGATATAAATTTTGGTATCAAGATCTCACTGTCCACACAGTGTCTC